CCCCCCCCAAAGAATGAGAGAATGGGACATTTAAAGGGGCCCTCCTGATGGTCTGATTTTAATATGTGGGCAGGTAACCCAGATCCCCGAGTCTGGCGGGATCTAAGCAGACGGAAAGATTTATTATAGGTGGCAACTCCCGGCTGATCTCCGGCTGATCTCTTTGTTAAGCAGTTCTTAGTCCTGGGATGTTAGTCACGGAGGCGTCCGGGAACACCTTTGCCACCTATCAAACCTTAATAAAAGGCTAAATGTCTACGGAGGTTCCCCATCCTCCAGACCAGGGTTGCACCCAAAAGGCCACTGGACTTTCTCACTTTTTTTCCTTGAAAAAAAGTTTCATCTTTCTTGGATGAGCAGGGAAAGTCCAGCGGCCTTTTAAAAGAACAGAATAAGAGGTGGAAGGGACCTTGGAGGTCTTCTAGTCCAGCCCCCTGCACCATTTCAGGCCAATTACTGTCCAGCCTCTTCCTCAAAACGTCCAGGGATGACGGAGCCCCCACGGCTTCTGGAGTCTGGCCGTCCCACCGGTTCACGGTCCTCACTGCAGGGAAATTCCTCGCGAGTTGCAGGTGGCTTCTCGCTTCGATTGGTTTCCACCCCTGGTCGCTTCCTCTCCTGCCTTCTGGTTCTTTGTAGAATAATTTGACCCCCCCTCTTCTTTGGAGCAGCCCCTCAAATACTGGAAGACCCCTACCATGTCCCCCCCAAGTCCTTAGTTTCTCTAGACTGGCCAAACTCTAGTCCTGCCACCCTTCTTCCTATGTTTTTTTTAATCTCCAGGGTTTTCAATCATCTTAGTTGCTCTTCTTTACACTGTTTTTGAAATGCATCTCTGGGTTAATAAAAGCTCCCCCACACACACCCCAAAAAACCCCATGGCAAAACCACTTCCATCTGTCAGGCAGTTTGAAAACCCTGCAGGGATTCGTCGAACAGGTTTAACAGAGTTGCGAGGGACCTTGAAGGCCGTCTAGTCCAACCCCCTCTTTCAATGTCAGGAAAGTCCCTCCACTTGGGTATTCAGAAGGGGTCCCCCTGCACTTTCTCAGAAGTTAAGAGAAGAAAAGGAAGAATGCAGATGGTGGTTGGGGACGGGGGAAGGGGGAAAGTGTATTTAAAGGGGTTTTGCATATGCTGAAAGACCCCAGGGCCTGGGGAGGGGAGGGTGGGGGGAGGAAGCAGCCTTGGCAACTAGGAACAAATGCTAAGTTTGCATATTGGAGGAGCCCTGAAGCTCCCAAGGTGCCACCTGCCCTCCCGCTGTGAGCTGGCCTGGCTGAAAGGAGCAGAAAGGGGGAGGGGGCTGAGTGAGGAGGGGGCTGCAGGCCAGTCTGATAGGAGCTGCCAACTTCTCCCTCCCGACAATTAACACCTGAGCTGCCTCTGATCTTGGGTGAGGGGGGGATTGGGGGGGGTTGATCCTCCCCCAGGTGAGTCAGGCCAGCTAGGGGCTTAGAGCCATCTTGGGGGTGGAGTGGGGGCTCTCGCCGGCTTCCCAGCCTCCTTGAGACTCTTTGCCAGAAAATTTTTCTAAGATTTTAATATTGTAAGCCACTTGCTGTGAGAGGGGTACCCAATAAATTAGATAGATAGATAGATAGATAGATAGATAGATAGATAGATATAATAGATAGATATAATAGATAGATAGATAGATAGATAGATAGATAGATAGATAGATAGATAGATAATAGATAGATAGATAGATAGATAGATAGATAGATAGATAGATAGATGATAGATATATATAATAGATAGACAGATAGATAGATAGATAGATAGATAGATAGATAGATAGATAGATTGATAGATAGATAGATAGATCGATAGATGATAGATATATATAATAGATAGATAGATAGATAGATAGATGATAGATAGATAGATAGATAGATAGATAGATAGATAGATGATAGATATATATAATAGATAGATAGATGGATAGATAGATGATAGATAGATAGATAGATAGATAGATAGATAGATAGATAGATAGAT